GGGAGTTCTGATCTTTTTGTTTATTAATATTTATACCACTTATAAGGTAAATACGTAATATGAAAGAAAAAGCACCTCTTTGAACGAAGAAAGCTCAGGCGGCAGCGCGAGCGATGGGGAGTGGCGGGGTTTTCCCCCCCCCCCCCCGCCGCTCACCTCCTGCTCTATGGAGCTCAGGCAGCAGCACGAGCGATGAGGAGCGGCGGTTCCTAACAGGCCACGGACTGGGACCGGTCCATGGCCTGGGGGTTAGGGACCCCTGTTCTAAACCCTTTTGTCTTGATTCCATTACGGATACCAGTAGATTTAAGAAACTGAAACAAGTAGTGTTTCACATTACCCACGCAGTCCGGCACTCACTGTGTCAGAGCAAAGCACCGACACTTTGCTCTGACTCATTACTACATGCCAGAATGCTGCAAAGAGAGGAGGGAAGCTCGCGGTACTTTAGTGACATCACCCACATGGTCTGGCATGTAGTAATGAGTCAGAGCAAAGCGCCGGCACTTTGCTCTGACACAGTGATTGCTGGACCACGTGGGTAATGTTACTAAAGACTGCAAACAGAGGAGGCATGGTTTAAGTGCCATCAGTCGGAGGAGGAGGTGGGAAGTGCGTGGCTGCAGCTCTCGTTACAGCCCTGGCTCAAATGAAGGCTCCACTCTCCCAGCTCTGGCGCTTGAGTATCAGCATATAACATGCAGCTAGGATTTCAGCCCCAAATTTTAGGGAAAAAGGTGCGTGTTATACGCCGATAAATACAGTAATCTTTTACAAATCAATTCCAAACTCAAAACAGATTCCGGTATAAAAGTCTCAGGAGCCCCTAAGAACTTGCATCATTCCTTGGGAAACACCTCACTATTATAGTCTTTTAATTTGGAAAATAATACCCTCACTCATTGCTAAATAATATTTGACTCTTTGGGATTGTTTTTAGAATGACTCCACACACATGGGCTGGGTTTTCACATTGAATTAAGCCAAGGTTCAGTTAAAGAAGATTTCATGCAACTGACTAAGCCAATATGTATTGTGTACAACTACAGTGGCTGAATTCACATAATATGCTAAACCAAAACCAAACCATTAACTAATTCTGAATTAAGTACAATGTATTAATCCAGACATGGAAAACATTACATGAAAATGGGTCATGCATATGTCTGGTTCATCAATCCTGGAATGATGCATAGATAAGTGCAACATTATCTAACAGTCAACAGAAGGATCTTGTTTGAGAAAAACATTAGGAATATCAGTTTGGATACTATATTATCTACATACACACATTATTGAAACTAATTCCAAAATAGTACCAAAGAGGTAAATATCATCTAGGGGAATCAGTTCCAGGTTTCAGCTATCACTGAGACTCAGACACTGTTAGGGTCTTGATTTTATTTAAGCAGTTATATTACAGGCTTTGAAGGAAAGTGAAGAAGGAATTTATGTAACATTTTTTGCATTTAACATTTTTATACCAGACCTAGATTGCTAGATTCAACAATACTTCTCAGCTCCTACAAAAATGCATTGGGCTGTTCCTGTTTACTTCTAAGATACCAAGAGCACATACATTTCCTTCACTATTTTCCTTGAAAACAGCTGATAGCAATGCTTTGCCAATATATTCTTTTTTGCATTAATGTAGTTGAAAGCTTTCATGACCATTAAAAAAAACAACAAGAAAACCAAGTCCCTAGAAATCAGCATTCTGACAAAATTAATACCCATCTGTCACCTCAAATGGGAATGAGAGCACTTTTTTATATGTTGCTTGGTGAAACATTGATTTTTCCTTCACTTTGGCATGAAGATCTGAAGAAAGCAGGAACATTTGACTCCAAAATGTATTACTGGTAACAAAAGGCTTTTTATTCTGGGCCACGCTACCCTCCTTATTATTTGATTCAAACCAGTATTGTCAAACTGATGTACTATCCTTGAAATAGTGAATAGAAAGAGATGAAATTACAACATTCCTTTCCTATCCATAGATAGTATTATCCACTACAATATAATTTACCACATTGCCAGTTTAGCTAGGTTGAGCACAACCTGACTTATTAAAAAAGGTAATATTTTCTGGAATTACTAGACAATGAAACTAGGAAAGTGGCAACTGGAAATTTTAAAAATCTCAGATTTATCTTCTTGAAATGTCTATCTACAATAAATTAAGAAAAATGACAGCCCTAAAGAAGGATCAAAAACGTATCCCTGCACTTTATTTACAGATGCATTACTAATGCCCTATGTACACAAAGGTCAGCTAGAAAAGATTAAAAAGAGTTTGCTTACAATAGATACACTAATATCAAGCATGGAATTTTGGGCACATTATACTTCAGTGCTATCAAGTGATTAATATGCTACTGTTCTGTAAAAGGAAATCAGAGCAGACCAAAATCAGTCTATTAATTCATTCTCCCACCCACACCCTCCACCCCCGGGTTAAGGAAAACTCTTTGTTGAATTAAGTTGTCTTCTTTCATTCTTGCATTGCCCTGTCCCTTCCTCTTTCTCCTAGAGGACTGCTACATATTTCTGTTTCCAGTAAAAATTATTATTTCATATTTAATGTCATAGATTGTAACACAAAACTGTGCTATGCAAACAGTGATCAACAGAGATGCTTTACAGAGATAGAACCTGCCTCCTATTTCCAAAGGAGGTAAAAGAGGAATGAAAACTTCTGCAGTCTGTCTTAGTTCTGGAGGCAGAGAATGGGACAGATCATGTTGTCATCGTCCTCCTCCCCCGTCCCCCTCCTCCTGTTTTGTTATTTAAATACAGGAGCTCCAGATAAAAGTAGTGGTATACAACCTAACAGCTTGCTGCTGACAATTACCACTTTTCTTTGGCATTCAGCAGCACACTTTCCAACAGTGAATATTTTGCCAGGTCTAAAATAATCCTTTTTTAATACTTGGTTTTTCATCATTTTGTTACACAATGGCCCTTTTCTATTTCAAAAAGGATTATTCACACTGTACTGCAAATGCCACACTGATAACAACCCAACTGGGTGCAAAGAAGTATTAGGTCAGACAAGAAGCAGCATCTCATGTTTTAGAATGATGGCCCACTGGAGGTGTGAAGGCAAAATGGTAGTTATGTCCTCTGCTCAAGGGCTTCTGGTCCACCCAGCACATCTTTTGCAGCAAGTGTTTTCTATCTGACCCTGTGAGTTGAGCTTAACTTTATTTCTTTCAGAACAGTTTTCAGGCTGAAAACACAAAGCCAAGTGGAAAATGACATTTTTTGGAAACCTCTCAGGAAAGAAAGAGACAAAATAATCAGCACCAATGGACTTGCCATTCAGAGAAATCACTGATGAACCACAGTCAGTAAAACCTGAAGAAGTGGAGAAAATTAGGATGACAGAGTTAGCCATCAGGCAGCTGAAATCCTTGCAGAGGGCCCTAGGCACTAACCCCTTTTTTACCCACTTCTCATGAGATAGCAGAATAAAGAACAGCAAATGCCAGCTCTAATTTCTCCTTTAGTTAGAGGAATTTTATCTGAAAGAACTGATAAATTGGGGAAATGGCACCTGCCACCTGTAGACGAAGCACCTTCAGTTACCAGGGATTAACACAGAGGAGAAAGAGGAAGAGGAGGAGGAGGAAGGGAGGGAAGAAAGGAGGGAGGGAGGAAGGGAAGGAGGGGCAGCTTTAAAATCCCATAGCCCCTCCCCCTGAGTGAAAAACAGGCTGAAAATCCCCCTTCTAAGTTCTTAGCTACTACAAAAACTAGAAACGAAGAACTGCCCATCTCTCTTAGAAAATGGCTTTGGTACAGTCTTTACAGCTTTCTCATTTCCCACTGAAATTTGGTAACAATCACATGACCCAGTTTTAGGGTCAAATCACCTAAAAGCCATAGCTAATTATCTGTATGGACTGGGATCAAGAAAAAAACACCTCAGCAAACAAAGATATTCAGAATGTTATGTACAGGTAGTCCTCTGTCTGTCCTACCCCTTTGCTATACCTTTCGGACCATGGGGCTTCCATCATTAATGAGCTGGGCCAGCATCATGGCAACGTTATGATCTATAGTAGTGGAATGATCAGTCCGCTCAGCAGAATTGCCTACAAAGGTGCCAAGGGCAAAGACTGCTGCACAGCGAACCTACAAGAGAAACAGAAGATGACATAACAGAGCACAAGAGTCCATTCACATTGCTTTGCAAAGGATACACCAAATCAGGTTTTCTACTAAAAAATGCAGATGTAATTCAGACATACCTATTTCATAGAGCAAAGAGATATTCAGATTGAAAACTTGTTCAAAAAGTTTAAACATGTACTCAATTCAGCCTAATAAGTAGCAAGAAATGTTAATTGACTGAAGAGCAGTCCACATCTATTTGCACATTTGTTAATTTGCTGCCGCTAGTTGAAGTATTAGAAGTACTTAAAAGTACTCATTTAGTACTTTATTTATTTAGAAGTAGTTATTTATTTAGAAGTACTTAAAAGTACTTATTTGGTTTTCCCACTAAAAATGGATGCTTTACAATGAATGTCTTTATCTTCTATACATATATTGAATGATTAGATTTATCAATTAAAATCAATATAATCAATCAACTGAAAGTCAGATTGCAATCCTACTACAGGTAGTCCTCCAAAACAAGTCATTAAGCGAAGCAGTCACTAAGGGAAACCGCAATCTCACTTCAGCTTTCCTTTGCATTACAGACCTACAAAGGTCGTAAATGCGAGGATTGGTCATAAAGTCCTTGCATAAAAGTTACTTTTTCATCACTGCTGTAACTGCAAACAGTTGCTAAATGAGGCAGTTGCTAAGCAAGGACTACCTGTAGTTAAGATTAACCAAAAGCCATAACAAAAAGAGCTGTTGGCTCTTTTTAAAATCTCAGTGGTCGCCTGCAAAAACAGTGCATGGCAGCTAACTGGAACACAGTCTCCTTATCGGAGAGATTTATTTTGAAACCTAGAAGATTACCTCTGGTATTGAATCAGAGAGGAGACTATAGAGCTTTTCATGAGCACTATCCCTCACACCACACCACCTTGCAGAGTCGAAATTTTGCCAGATACGTCCCAAGCAAATAGCCACCCACTGGCGCAGCAGAGGGTGTGGATCATTCAGCTGTTCCAGGCAAATGGCAATCAAGTTCCCTTGAAGGCAGGCTTCCTGCAAGAAAGGCCGTTCATGTTATTGCAATCAATTTCTTGACAGTATATAAATCTGAAGGTCAAGATGTTCCCAAGAGGACTGAGGCAGAGACGCCTGGGCTTAAATCAGTGCTATCTAACTTTTTTATTCAAGGTTACTGAGCCAAGCCACTCTTTTTCTTGACTTGTACTCACCTGTCCTGTGTTGTAGTTGTTGACGATCACTGCCAGGATGAAAGCTGTCATTGTTCTATGTTCAGCCTTAACATACAGATACAAGAATATTTTTATTTGTGAACCTTGGGTAAAGCAATACATGAATGCTTCAGGCAAAGGTTTTAAAAGAGAAACAACATCCACCCTCGCCCTCTTTAAAAGAGAAACCACAAGCACTCTTGTCCACTGCCTGGATCCTGGGCCAGCAGTGGGAGGAAGAAGATGGTGAAGGTCAGCTGGGGGCAGCAGCAGCAGCGGGGGACAGCAGGGGTAGTCAACCAAGTGCAGGGCAGCCAAAAGGGCAGAGATGGGGCGGGGGGGAGATAGGCGGGTGGGGGAAGTTGAAGCAGAGGCAGTTTGCGCAGGGCAGGAGAAGCGTGAGGTCCTGGCCTAATGACTGCAACTGAGACTGCCAGAACTGCTGTTGTTAAGTGGTCATGTGATGTTTTACTTAACAACTTAGCGATGGAAATTCCAGTCCTAATAGGGTCGATAAGCGAGGACTACCTGTGTACATTACCCTATACAACAATTTTTTCAAATGGAACTATTATTCAGGTCTTTTATTGTAACCTTATTCACAAAGAAAAATAAATGTCTTTGAGCAAATAGTTCAATTGAACAAAAATAATTAAAATGTACTATTCTTTGTGAAATATAATATGTCTTACTCCAGCATTGCTGTAAGAACACCTTTTAGATGCTGAAGTTCCATTTTGTTCTGATGGACATAGCCTATTCACATGTTATTTCCATGTAGGTAATGGCAAAAGCAAGGTCACCCTTTTGGTTTTACTTCTGATGTTGTACTGTTGGTTTAATTTTGCTCCCTGAGCTTGAACATCAAGAACTGAATAGGGAAATTTACTTCTGAGCTGTGGCTCTTATACTGGGCCCCATCCAATAGGATTGTGCATACTGCATAAGTGATTCAGGAGAAATGCTTTAGACCTTATGAAAACATGGCACTTCTCTGCTGCTTTAAGAACTATATTAATTTTAAGGAATCATAGAAGCCTGAAAAAAGGGGGTATGTTACAATTAATAGCAGAGAAGTGCTATATTTGTGCAAGGTCTGAATCATTTTCAAGGCATGCACAGCCCTGTGTGAAAATCAAGACAACTGTGGTAACACATAGGAGTCTCACGGAAACCAGCTGGTCACATATAGACTTTCCTATTCACATCAGTGTGCTCAACATGGGAAGTCAGGGAAATAAAGTCAGCACAAGAGCAAAATCTCAGATGCCTTCCTTTTGAATAGGGCATGAATAGGCCATCTAGCCAGTACTAAGGCACCATGTCTTATGGCAACTAATTCAATAAAATTAATTCAGATGTACTGCATGAAGAAGCATTTTTTCTTGCCTGTCCTGAATATACTGTCAATAATTTTTAATAGCTTAAGGAGAGGGAAAAATTATATTTACTTTTTCAATGCTGTTATTCAACAAAGCATATTGCATGTTAGAATTGCGTAAGAATCTCTTTCCATCTACAAAACCTTATTAAGTCACATAAGAGTTGCACATGAGCCAAGACACAACACATAACTTCTAAACAGATGGATGGGGGGTGGGGGGGTGGAGAGAAAAGGGATTGATTGCTTAATCTTACCGGCATGTAGGGATCTGCCAAAACAGAAAGGAAATATTTGTGACCATTGTCCTTCACAAGGTCAGCTTGGCATGACTAAAAAACAAGATTGAGAGTGAGGAAAGAGAAGAAAGAACACAGTTGAGTTCAATAACCTGAGAAAAAATTCTTCTAAGCCTTCAGATGATTTATGAATATTTCATGCCATAGTAATTTTTCTCCTTCAAATTCAGTTTTCAATTGATTTGAGAAACAAAATAGCAGAAGCAAGCTTCTTCTGCCAGGACATCAGCCAAGAAATCTTGGTCAAGATTTATATGATGGAAGCAAAGGACAGCTGTTACATGTTTGGGAAGCCCAAGGCCCATGGGCAGCTTTGTTTGCTTGGAGAGTCCTTAGAAGCAATGATCAATGAACTTTATTTGCAAGAAACAGTACAACTTTTGTTCATTCAGCCTATACAATGAACTAGGAGTACCTTCATCTGCAAGCCAGGTGTAGGGAAAAAAGTCATCTTCCACAATAGTCAACTGTATTTTTTCTCCAACTGATAAAATCTAAGGGTTCTCCTGGTTCATCTTTTGTAAATATCTATAGATATTCTATATCTTAAGACATAAAGCCATGGGAAGAGAGAATAAATTAAATGACTGACGTACTTTTTCTTTCAGCAGTTACCCTGGGTGACTCCTTTGGCACTCACATCCTTTTTCCTATTGTCTGAGTAAGATCAAGGGTCCCCTCAATGTATGTAGTTACAAGTCAAAATCATATATATACTTCAGTGATATTATCATCCATCCATCCATCCACCCATCCATCCATTTTATATGGCCATCCATCTCAAATTCATTACTCTGGACAGCTAACATCAATTAAATATACCCAAAAACGCCATTAAAATAAAATAAAATAAAATAAAATAAAATAAAATAAAATAAAATA